ACACACACACACACACAAACAGTTCCTTCCTTACTTTGCTGAAGAGTTTGTCAAAGCAAGTGACGCAGTAAGGGTTATTGTCCTTGGCAATATATCTCTGTCCAGCCAGCGGAGCGTCACAATACCAGCAACAGAAGTGATGCACGTGCCAGGAACGACCCTCCGCCTGGGTGTACTCACGGGAGAAGATAATCTGCAAGTGGGTGAGCCAGGGAGTTAGGGTTTTACGGTATTCTTTAAACAATACGAAGACACTAGTTCGAGCTTTATAGTAATTATAGTTGTTCCACAATAGGAAGACAATAGTTAGGGTTTAATGGGTGGTTCAACAATTGAAAGACAATAAGCTTAGTTGTTTTCGTTTTAGTAAGGGTTTTACGGCATCTGAAACACGTTAACACGGTCACATAATAATAATAGTTCCAAAGAATAGAGGTGTTTCTAGAGAGTAATAAACACAAAAAGAAGGAGGAGCGATACGGACAATAAGTGTTTGATAAGAAAGAGGGCACAGAGCACCCGCCAACCATCCACTATTTAGAGTTTTATGGCTCAGTCAACAAAAGGAAGACCATAGTTAGGGCAGAGAGGGTTCACAGTGGGTTAGGGTTTTATGGTTGGTTCAATTAAAGGGAGACAACGGTGGAGATTAATGTTATGTTGTGTTATCTCACCTCCACCTCACCTCACCTTATCTCTTCACATCTCATATCTGACCTCACCTCATTTTATCTCATCTCATCTCATCTCATTTCATCTCATCTCACATCTTACCTCATCTCATCTCACCTTATCTTATCTAATTTTATCTATCTTATATTATCTTATGTCATCTTACACACCTCATCACAAGCAGAGCATCGTGGGTACAGCAGGTCCGCATAATGTCTCTCACAATAGATACGTCCTTTCTTGGCGAAGTAGATCATGTCCACCAGCAACTGTCGGCAGGTCGTGCAAGCGAAACAGCCCGGGTGCCAGCAGTCTCCTGGGATCTTACTGGCTATCACGGCGGGCCCACCCATCTCCATCTTCTGCTGGCAGCTCTGGCAAGGCTAGACGATGGAAGAAGGAGAAACTCATAAGTCCATCAATAATTAATAGATTAATTAATCAGTATGGTTTTGAATCGGTTAATACGATTCGTCGGTAAGCAACGGAATCAGTCAATTATTCCAACAGCAAATTGTACTCTCTCTTTCTCTCGTTATTCACTCTCTCCCTCGGCCAGTAACTCACTCACTCACTGCCCATCCACCTATTCATCCATTCATCTCCTATTCTATTAATCTATCCCGTCGTCTGTTTGGCCGCCAATGCGCCTTATTTATCTATCTGTCTATCTGCCTATCGTTCTATCTATCTATCTATTTATTTATCTATCTATCTATCTATCTATCTATCTGTCTGTCTGTCTGTCTGTCTGTCTGTCTGTCTGTCTGTCTGTCTGTCTGTTTGTCTGTCTGTCTGTCTATCAGTCAGTCTGTCAGTTTGTCTGTCCCATCGTCCACCACTATCACTTATTTATTTAAATGTCACACCTCGGGTATCATAATGACATTATGGTGGTAGTCTCAAAGAAGAGAATGTCATGTAGCAGTTCAAAAGATACAAGTCCGACCTTGTCGTTGTTATCACAAAGGAACCAAATTAACCCAAGGATAAAAGAAAGAAATTGGAATCAGAAATAAGAACAAAAAAACAAACAAAAAAACATAACGAGAGAGAATATATATTACACACACACACACACACACACACAC